CGACCCCTGAGAGAGCGCCGCGGATCTAGCGGGTGAGGACCGAGAAAAGGACGTGCCCGTCTCGGATCCAGTCTGCGCTGTGCCTCGGCAACAGCGGGACCGCTGCCCGCGGGATCGCGAGCCTGGCCGCTCTCATCAAACACGGCCAGGCGAGAGCGGAGCGTGCGCAGCGAGAGCAGCTCGCAGTCATGACAATCAGCCCCCTCGAGAGCTGACCGTGCATGCTCTGCTCCCAAACAAATGACACACAAATCGTGTGTATCCCCCGCCGCCAGATATCGTGGGCAGGGAGGAACACAGCGTTTGTAATGCCATTCGCTCGCCATAGACTTTTTCATGATTGATATATATATATATATATATGCTTGTGCGGACGGACAACAGTAAATAGACAGACACATACACAGAGTGCTACTGAAGAGCAGAAGCTGGTTTGCGCTCTGCCGGATGCGCCTTTATGCTTTCTGGTGCTTACGTCACCCTGCTCGTGACGTCTCGCTACTCCATTGGACTGATTTGACACGTGCTTCAGAACGCGGTCACGCAAGGGCGTTCCCAAAGCTACTCGACGCAGCTCGAGTTCCTGAAGGGGAACTAAGTTTTATAAAATGATAAACTTCACATTTCAGCCTTTAAACCATTTTTTTAAGAAAAAGGATCAAAAGTATAAATTATTGTATTAGTTTAACACATAAATGTATATCTTACTGTCTTGATTGTTTAGATTTTTAGAAGACGCATTAGCTTCTTATCGATCCACCAGTTCATGTTTACAACTGCGTTTTTCCTGCTTTAAAATATGTTGATTTTAACATTGGTCTGAACTAAAACAGCAGACAGGCTCATTGAAAATGCAAATTCATTCTCTGCCAACAGGTGGCACTTTTGGAGCAGCAGAAATATCCCTGGTAACAGCTGTACACAAAGCAGGCTGAGCTCATAAATGCTACTGTATCAGGCATTACAGGGAAGATGAAATGAAAATGCCATTTATATTTTTCTGAAGACAGTCAGTTCCCTTCAGAGATATAAAAACACCCACGCCAAGTTTTGACTTTGAAACGTGCAGCGCTCATTCAATGAAAACGTAGCCTTTTGATGTTTAATCATCACATTAAGCCATTTCACGATTCCGTCTCCAAATTTAAGCCCTCTTGAAATTATAATTAAGACTTTTGCTGTTCCATTTAAGGAATTTTATTTTATTTTATTAACTTAAATTTAATTTACATCTAAATTTAAGACTTTCTAAGGACCCGCAGAAACCCTGTGATTGGTTACCATCTATAAAGTATATTTGTAATTGCACTGCACACTTTAAACAGTCTGTTGCTGTTGCTTTTTTACTGTACTGTTTTATGTGTCTTTTTAAACTTTTAATCTACATTGACATTTTTAAATTGATATTTATTATGTTGTTTTATGTGAATGTTTGAGAATGTGGGATACCAAACAAAATTTGTTTTGCTCAGCAGTACAATGACAATAAAATCTGTTTACTCTTTACAAAGAGTAAATGACTCATTGTGTCATAATCATTGTGTATGTTTCTGCCCTACAAATGCCAAAACCTAAAATAACCTCCTCTAATCCTGCCTGTACTGCATACTGTAAAACAATCTTCTCAAAGTAACCAAATTGGACACACTCTTTCAGGGCACTGCCAAAACGTAACAGTGTGCTGGTCATGTGTATGAAATTTAGAGCTAAATGATAATTTCCCTCATGACAGATGACGCTCAAATCTCTTAATAACTTCATTAGACTGATGTCCTATAAAAAAGTCCCCGCAATCCGAGAGCAAGAATGAGAAAGAGAAATAAAGTGGCTGGCAGAGCCTCTCACGGTTCTTGTGACTTGAGTTTAATCTTTGGTCCCACAATCCCAGCACCCTCTATTTTCACATGCCCCAATATGACCTTCAGCACTGGTTAATCATTAGCCTAAAGAACTTAATCAAATAAGAGCCCTCACAAATATAGCCAAAACTTGTTGAAGTATGCTTTGAAACAGCAAAACTGCAGCCTTACGATATTAAAGTAATATTCAAAGGAAGAAGGCTACATTTTAAAGAGAATTTAGTTATATGTTCTCTATGATTCAAAGAGGTAATATCATGAGATGTTTATTTGATCTGTGACATAAAAATAGATTGATGTACTATGAAATACTACTGTAGCGTTCAGAACTCCAGACATGCAGGCCAGAAGGAGTTTATCCAAAATGAAAATCTGCTGAAAATGTACCCTCAGGTCATCTAAGATGTAAATGAATTTGTTTCTTCATCAGATTTGGAGAAATTTATCATTACATCACTTGCTCAGCAATGGATCCTCTGCAGTGAATGGGTGCCGTCAGAATGAGAGTCCAAACA